ATATCACCCACCTCTATTAGAACATCTCTATTACAACAAGAGCAAAATCAAACGAGGGGTTGTTTCATCTTCAGTTGAACTGAAAGTGGTGAAATGTTTTCGATTAATACAGACCAGATAATAATAATTGTAATAATAATAATAAAAATAATAATAATACTGTAGCGTCCTTGATCTTGTGCGAATGAAATGCAAATCTGACGCGCATGCGCAGTGCAGGGCGCCCCGATCCGTTCCCGGAGCAACAGGGAAAATGGCAGCGCTCACCACCCTCACTCAGGTAATAAACACTAAAACATCCACCTACCATCACAAAAAGCGTTTATCCGAGTGCACTGCTGTGATAACGACGAACAGATCACTCACACAAATGCACTGCCGAAAGCGCATTTACTGAACGGCCCTTATTTATCAGGGCTAGCGAGGAGTTAGCCGGCCAGCTAACGGTTAACGTTAATCGAATAGAGATTATTTAGCGATGGTGCTAAACCGGAGCTCAGTGAATCGGAGGAAAAACTGTAGTAGCTCCTTCTGTAAATGTAAACACGGTGTAACGACCGCAGATCTTAAATGTTGTGGGCCAAGGCAGTCTCCAAATGACTGGTTGTTTATTGCTAGGATAAGAATCTAAGATAATGTGCAGTTCAGCCGTTAGCTAAGCTACTTATCGTATCATTCCCAGTCAAACTGCGGTTAACAGAAAATGAATGTAACTTGGCGTCTTAAGGTGGAGTGGATGAAAATCTATTTAGCAGCTTTTGAAAGCTGTAATCATTTAGCTAGCGTTATGTCATGTTTACAATATGGTGGAACTGTTCAGTTTGGAGGCTAACGGTGCAATCACATGCTGTTTTCTGCGGAGCTAACGGGACCTAATAACCTACTGTCTCATTTTCCTTCTTTTTCTGAGAGGGTTGGTCAGTACAAGCCAGCCGTTCAGGTTTTTATGGGTATTTCACAGTTCAGTAATGCCAGTTCCTGATGTTATTGATAATCAGGGGTATTTATAGGGAGTTTGTCCCTCATCTGCTGCACTAACAGCCTCTCTGTTCTTCTGGGAAGGCTTTACACTACTTTAGATGTTTGTTCATAGGGTTTCGTTGTATTCAGCCACAACAGCATTAATAAGGTCAGGTAATGATGTAGGATGATTAGCTCTGAATCACAAATGCCACTCCTACTCATCCCAAAGGTGGTGGTTGGAGAAAGCAGTTCTGCTCCATTGCACTATTCTGGGGGGGCTTTATACCCCTCTAGCCTATGCTTGGCATGGTGACCTTAGATTTATGTGCGGCTGATCCAAAGCATCCCATACTACTGGTCAGTGCTTTACAGTGTGTGCGCAATTGAAAGCCTATGTCAGCAGAAACACGTTAAAGAAGGAGAATTTGCTAAGTAGGACGACTGTCTGGGTACTTTGGGATATGTAAGGTTGATGTCCTGGTCACGTATTAAGTATAAAGATTATGCTTATTCCTGGTCTGGGAAACTGACCCATAGTGTTTGTCATCTTTCATGAATGGCTAAATCTCTTCCTGTTCAGGATCTTAATGAAAAATTTGAATGAAACTGTTGATGGGTGTCATGTTGGTAGTTTATGTAAATTATAGCACAACTGACTGACTTGTATGCATCAAAGTAATAACAAAAGTTAGCCATGTTGTGGAAAAAAAAGTTGTGTTGTCATTGTGTGGTAACGTCTTGGCCATATTAGGAACTCCGGGCCTAAGCTGTTTTTTCTATAAGAAAAATGAAAGCCATTTTAGAAAGCTGCCACTGTCATGCCCTTTAGTACACAATTGTTTCAAAGCTGACGTTTTTCCTTACATACCTTTAAGGACCTGAAATATTAATATTGCAGTAGCAACATCACCAAACATCAATGTAGCGTGACTGTAGTATTCTTGATATTCCAACTACTAAATGAGCTCAGACTTCAGGTTAACCAGTGACAGAGGGAAGTTGTACACAGGACAAAACTATCAGCTTTGGAATATTTTTGCCACAGGGCACAATGGAGGCTTTTAGTTTTCTCACAGGGAACACCTGCTTAGACCCGGAGCTCCTATTATGGCCAAAAAGACAACAGAATTGTACATGGCTTTAAACGTCTTTTTTAACAGCTCAGTTGGTTCACAGAATTTGATTTTCATCTTGTCGCCTGGTTTACTTGAATGTAGCTAGATAAACTGCAGCAAAGCATTGAAAAACTGTCACCTAATTCTACTTCTAACTTTTCAGCTGTCGAGTGGGAACCCAATGTACGAAAGTTTTTATCGACAGGTAAGTGAAAAAAATCCAGAAACACTTTACAGTATCTGTTTTTGCTGCCTCCAAGAGTCTTTATACAGAGGTGGAGGAGTGAAGTTTAACCCAATCCAGAGATTGAAAAATAGGCGTGTTTAATGTTTTCCCAGCTCTAGCACAGCCGATCAGCTCTTAATGGTCTTGATAATTAGCTGATAAACTGAATGGGGCATTACAGTGGGGAGAGGGCAGACCTGTGCTCCAGGACTGGTATTTGACTTTGTGTTGTGTTAGTAAAATTAGCAAGTCATAGTTCGAAATGAAGAAACATTCTTTGGTAAAATCTCACTGTTTTTATTAACTGATCTATGGTGTGATCTACGGTCTTTCTATGGTGTGAAACTTGAATATATATATATATATATATATATATATATATATAAATACATATATGTGTGTGTGTGTGTGTGTGTGTGTGTGTATGTATATATATGTACACTAATTGTCAAAAAAATAGTTGCACCCAGAAGGAAGTGCAGGATTGCAATGCTATTCGAAAGGAAGATAAAGGTACACAACATGCCAGACGTCTCGGCATGGAGTTGTAGAGGTTCTCAGTGGCATACTTCGCTTGCAAAGGATGCTACCAATACAACAGCACGAGTCAGAATGAAACGCAGGCGCAACGGGACGACCTTATACAGTCAGTCAGGTACAGAGATAAGGCCCGTTCTAGCTTACGTCACATATGCCGAGTGTGAAACTTGAATCCTCCGCATGTCTCACAATGTCAAACCTACCCACCCAAGTTTCATTCCTGTTGGTTGATTCCTTCTGGGTGCAACTATTTTTTGACGATGAGTGTATATATATGTGTGTGTGTGTACATGTGTGTATATATATGTATGTGTATAGATGCATGTATGCGTGTGTATATATATATATAGATATGTATATGTGTGTGTGTGTGTGTGTGTGTGTGTGTGTGTGTGTGATACATGTTGCATTGTAGAGGTGCAAAACAATATAATGACGGTTGTGGTTTTTGCACCATGATGTGAAATGTCAGCATTCATTAGTTTGCATTTTGCTTTTATTCTTTCATTTAAAGTCCAATTGCTACAACAAGACCACAGTTCCTGGTGAAATCACCAAAATTAAATGAAATTAAAACAAACAAGTAATTTCCTTAGAAAACAAATACATTTGTAAATTTGTGAAGTGTATATGGTTTCAGTGGCAGGAGAGGTATATGTTTCTGATTGTCTCTTTTAGGAATTGAATGGATTTTTTTTTAAAGAACTGGTAACCAGTCCAAATGATGTCAGTATGTTTAATGTCCCATTTAAAATACACAGATCTTACTGTGATCAGTTCACAGTGGAACCCCTGCATTGGAAAAAAGAATGCTAATATGCCTATCCTTACATCTCTAATATATTGTGTTATGCTATTTTATTAGAAGAAACTGTTGGTTGAGAAGAGGTATAGTGGCATAAGGATGGTTTATGTTTGCTTTATCAGGTGGATCCAGGAAACACAGGGAGAGTAGGACCCACAGAGGCTGCCTTATTCTTAAAGAAATCAGGACTACCTGACATCACTCTGGGAAAGGTGAGTATATGGGGAAGCATGTCTAACCATGAACTCTGAATTAGCAAAATCATAAAAGTGGTTATAGACATTGGATCATTACTCATCAATCTGTTTATACCCCATTCTTTTTACCTCATGGTTTATTTTTGTTGTCCTTCAAACGCTTTGTTGGTCATTCCTCCCACAGATTTGGGACCTAGCTGATCCAGATGGAAAAGGTTTCTTGGACAAACAGGTAGAGTGGACTGCCTTGTTTTAATATTTAGTTAATAAGTTTTAACTTGCTCGTGATTCATCAATGTTTGAAATCTTGTTTGTTGACGTCGAAACAAAGAACAGAAGCGCAGACTCAAACCTGTTAGATCAGAATGTGAGTCAGATGGAAATGCAATTCATTATGTATCTAGCTCTGTAATTAATCATGTACATGTGTAATTACATTAAACATCACAGCAAAACAGAAGGAATAACTCTTGCGTTATTGGCTTATCAGGCATATTTGCTGATTTTTATCTTTGTGTTTATATTAACAGGGATTTTATGTTGCTCTGCGACTTGTGGCCTGTGCACAGAGCGGTCAAGATGTCTCTCTTTCAAGTTTAAACCTCACTGTTCCCCCTCCTAAATTTGTAAGTATTTAATATTGCAGTGTAGAAAAAGTATAAATAGAAATAGAATGTGACCGTGTACCAATTACAGTAACTTTATCTGTAAAGAAATTAAACATAACAATGTTTTTGCATCACAGAAGGACCCTAGCAGCCCATCATTAACTGCCGCATCATCGACTGACAGCCACTGGGCAGTTAGGGTAAGTCCTTTAACAAAACTTGTATGCATTTATGGACAGTAAACAAGTAACAGGTCATGGAGGCGATTTGAAGCGTTTCCTAAAAGAAAATAAATTAATTCAGTACCAGTCAGTTTTAGACTTCGAACCCCTTTAGATGTCATACTGTTATAATTTGACTTGCTTGCAGTGCATGTTTATTTGAAGATAATGCACCATATGGACTCTCTTGATTAACAGGCCCTTATCAGAGCCACCAGACCTTCATTTTTTCTGTCTCAACTTTATTGTCTCTGTGGTTTTCAGCCTGAAGAGAAGAGCAAGTTTGATGGTATTTTTGAAAGTCTTGCACCAGTAAATGGACTCCTCTCCGGTGAAAAGGTCAAACCAGTTCTTATGAATTCAAAACTTCCTGTGGATGTTTTAGGAAAGGTAAACAGAGTCTATTTTTAGCCGCTTTATTGTAATTATTACATTAAATATTTTGTAATAACTATTGTGTGTACATTATGTAAGTAAATGTAGTCTGAATAAAAGGAAATCTTCATCTTTTCACCAGGTTTGGGATCTAAGTGATATAGATAAAGATGGACATTTGGACAGGGACGAGTTTGCAGTGGTGAGATGAAAGAATATTTTTAAACTTCCCATTGTTTAAATCTTTTACATTTCTATTTCAGTTTCTATTTGACATGTCATATATCAGTCAACCAGTCAATCAGTCAACCAGCCTTTATTTGAACTCGGAGTACCTTAAGGGTGACCCTCATTTACAGTGTAGCTGATCATTAGAACAGAGAACAAGGATTGAAAAGACTAATAATCATTGAAATAAACAGGTAAAATATAGGAACATATCAGACCAGTAAAAAAGGCAAAATAAAATGTAAGCTAGTCAGTATTACCAAGTTTAAATTGGATCAAAATAAAAATAATGAATATGAAATACTTATTACAAACTAAGATCAAATAAAACAGTTACAGGCTTAGTGGAGGTGGTTAGAGATTAAAAGTTTAAAATGGTTAAGTGACACCGGCAAGTGGAGCTTTAGAGTGTCCTGTAATAAAATGCACTGTAGCTAAAAGCAGATTTTCCCAGTTCAGTAAAAGCTCTTGGCACCTGAAGGGTAATCCGGTCACTGGAGCAAGCATAGAAGTAAGCATAGATGTGATATATGATGGCACATGGCCAGTAAGTGCTTTATAAGAAACAAAGCCAGCGTGTTTCCTAATGTACAACCAGAGAGGACCAACCTACTTTTACATAGAGTAAGCAATAACGAGTGTTGTAGACCTGTCTCATTTGAAATTTGTATATAACTCGTTGTTTTTGTCCTCAAGGCTATGCACCTTGTGTACCGTGCACTGGAGAAAGAGCCAGTTCCTTCTGTCCTGCCCTCCTCTCTCATTCCTCCATCCAAAAGGAAGAAATCTGCAGGCTCGCTGCCTGGAATGGCGCCTGTACTGCCAGGGAGCCCACCACCACCTAAAGACAGTCTACGCTCCACACCCTCCCACGGCAGCATGAATTCTCTAAACAGTGCTGGAAGCCTCTCTCCAAAACACACTCTAAAGTCCACACAGGTATGCAGCTCTGAAACCTGTCTCCCAAACACAGCCTTAGATAATCGCAGGGCATGGTACCACAGTTGGCACCGAAAAGAGCAGAACAGTGGACAAATGTAAGTAAGCCATGTCTCAAAGTCAAGGATGCAGCAGAGGAAGGCTCCAATTCTCAGCCGTTATGTTGTGGCGCCAGATGTTGTGATGAAATGTAATGACGTGTGCCTTATTACCCTTTTTTTAATGTTTTTAAAAGTAAAATTTAAGCTATGATGTATCGATCCACCCTGCTCAGAACAGTCTGGACTGTGCTTTTGTTTACCAGTGCTGGGAAGGTGCCCCTTACCTCATCTGCAGCCTTCAGACAACTATATACCATCTGTGAAAGCAGCTTTGTCATTTGCATTAGATACTGAAGGGTGTCTTTGTATTTTGTTAGCTGGAAAAGTGTCTTAGGTTGCATTTTTATTCACTATCCAATTTTAATGGTAACACATCCTGTTAAACTTGTCCTCGTAGATGCAGAGCTCTGGCTAGTAACTCCCTCACTCATTCACACGTGTATCGGGCTGAAGATTCTTCACAAGGAGGCGTTATTAGCACTTTTGCTGGGATGATGTGCAAATCATTTAAATACTATATTTAATTGAAAATAGTACAAAGACAACATATTAAATCTTGACACTGACAAATTTTCTTGTTTTTTGAAAAATGTATGCCTACTTTGAATTTGATGCCAGCAACACGTTTCAAAAAAGTTGGGACGGGAGCATGTTCACCACTGTGTTGCATCACCTCTCCTCTCCTTTTAACAGCACACTGTGTTTGTGAACTGAGGAGACCAACTGCTGTAGTTTTGAAAGTGAAATGTTTTCCCATTCTTGCTTCATATAGGATTTCAGCTGATCAACAGTTCGGGGTCTCCTTTGGCAAATTTTTCATTTCACAATGTGCCAAATGTTTTTAATTGGTAATTTAATTGTTCTGGATTGCAGGCAGGCCTGCTTAGCACCTGGGCTCTTTTACTACAGAGCCATGCTGTTGTAATATGTGCAGAATGTGGTTTGGCATTGTCTTACTGAAATAAGCCAGGCCTGAAAAAGACATCATCTGGATAGCTGGATATATCGTTTAGCATTAATGGTGCCATCACAGATGTGCAGATCACCCATGCCATGTGCACTAATGCACGTGCATACCACCACGGATGCTGGCTTTTCAATGGTGTGCTGATAACAAGCCAGATGGTCTTAAGCTCAGAGGATGCGGTTTCCATGATTTCCAAAAAGAATTAAGTTTTGATTTGTCAGACCACAGGATGCTTCTCCGCTTCGCCTCACTCGATCTTAAATGAGCTCAGGCCCAGAGAAGGCAGCGGTGTTTCTAGATCCTGTTTACATATGGTTTCTTCTTTGCATGGCAGAGTTTTAACTGGTGTTTGTGGATGCAGTGATGAGCTGTGTTTACAGACAGTGGTTTCCAGAAGTGTTCTTAAGACTGTGCAGTGATTTCCACTATGTAATCGTGTCAGTTTTTAATGCAGCGCTGCCTCAGGGCTTGAAGATCACGGTCAGGCAATATTGGTTTTTGCCGTTGTCCTCTGCATGCAGATATTTCTCTGGATTCTCTGAATCTTTTAATGATGTTATGTACCGTTGATGATCTCCTCCTTGCTATTTTACAAGGAGGAGTGTTGTCCTTGAATTTGCCCACACAATTTTTCACAGAGTGGTGAACCTGTCATCATCTTTACTTCTGAGACTTCTTTTCTCTTCTTTTCGTGTCTCTGGGATGCTCTTTTTATACACTTTCATTTTACTGCTCTGTTGCCAGTTAAACACCAGGTGTTTTTTTTTTTTCATTACACAGCTTTACCAGTCTTTTGTTGCCCCATCTCAACCTTTTTGAAATGTGTTGCTAGTATCAAATTCAAAATGGATGTATATTAAAAAAAAAAAATGAATTCTCAGTTTGAGCATTTGATATGCTGTTTTTGTGCTATTTTCAGTTAAAAATACAGTTTATATGATTTGCATTTTGCACAGTAGGGCTGAAACAAATATTGTTTTGTTTCTACTTGTTTATTCAAATGCTTAAGTCCTTTCCTTGGTTGGAATGAAAACCTGCACACAGTGGCCCTTTGCAGATAAGACTGGACATCCCTGGTTAAAGTGCAACTCTGTTACAAGGTGTGGAACAGACTGCTAAAAAAATAATTACTGAGTTTTCTGTGGTGTTTTTCTTTCAAACCTGTCAACATCAGCACTCTGTGAACTGGGTGGTGCCAGCAGCAGACAGGCAGCGCTACGATGACATCTTCCTGAAAACGGATGCTGACCTTGACGGCTTTGTCAGCGGTCAAGAAGTGAAAGAGATCTTCATGCAGTCTGGCCTTCCCCAGAACATCCTGGCACATATATGGTGAGTCATGGTGTGCTGTGGAAGAGCAGTCTTTTTTTAGTTGTTTTGATAAATTATTGTTTTTCATGCTCATTTATCTTCCACTTTCTGGATGTCTCACAGTATCACACAGTAGCATGGCCTTACTGGGGTGCTGTAAAGTCGTTTCAAATGCACTCTTGACAACCATCTCACCTGAAACTCACCTTAAAGGTGCTACTATTCAAGTTTACCGAATCAGTCACTCTCAGTTCATATTCCCAAAGGTATTGGATCAGTATGTCTCTCTGCAAATTATTAACAGTGTGTCTGTGTGCTGAGTTATGAGTTGCGGCACAGCTTGAGTTTGAGCTGTAGAATATCCCTTTACTTTGCGTCCATTGTTTTTCCTGGTCACGTGTCACCTGGGCTGTGAACACGCAGCGGGTAAAAGTGGCCCAAATCCGATTTTCTCCCCACATCTGATTTTTTTGTTTGCCTGTTCACAATATCTTTTAAATGTGGCCTGTATGCGACATTAGTCTGAACAGTTCACGGTCCATAACTGACCCACGTGCGCAAAAGAAAAGTGCTTCATGTTGCTTCATGTGGCTCATGCAGAGGTAAACAATCTTGACTGCCAACGAACGCCAGTCGCTCACGGACGTTTTAGTTATTATCTTCGCCAGCATCACAGGAGCCATCATGAAGCTTCACTGACTGACAGCTGGCTCATCACCTAGAATGTGTTCGAGCTCGCCGTGAAAAAGGGCGCGGTCACTTCTTTGTTTTATGTCCTCGGATTATTTAAACTTTGCTTTTAGGCTTTTACCTGTTATTTGACGCTGCAACCTACGGCTGCATTCGGTCATTTCTTTCGAAACCTCTTCGAACACGGAGGGTTTTGATGAGTTTCTTCTAATTTTTGTACAGAAACACCCCAGATGTTTATGAGATCTCAGCAGCACAAAATTATGACGAACGTTGAGTTGGACTGACGTAAAAGTCGCATTAATTGCAATCTGGCTGTTCAGACCGAGTCACACTGCTGCATATTGGATACGTATCAGATTTCAGTACCACATATGAAAGCGTCTCAAATCAGAATTGAAAATTTCAGATTCAATGTGTTTTTTGCTGTTTACACTGCCACACAGACACATCTGTGTCACATGAAGAAAAAGATCAGTTAGGCCATTTTTACCTGCTGTGTAAACAAAGCCTTTTGAGCTTTTTATTTAACAATATTTGCAATTGTAAAATACCCGTAGTCTTTTCTTCATTATTATGTTGTTCATATAGGGCTTTGGCAGACACGCGGCAGATGGGCAAGCTGACCCGAGAGCAGTTTGCACTGGCCATGCATTTCATCCAGCAGAAAGTGAGTAAAGGCTTGGATCCTCCACAGGCCCTGACCCCAGAAATGATCCCACCGTCAGAGAGAGGCACCCCTGTGAGTAGCAGCATTGTAAGAAGTATTACATTTATAGTTAGTTCATTGATTTTGTATTAAAAATGTGAGTAGAGATGGCACCATACTACTTCTTTCCTATACTGATATTGAAACCTTGAATATCGGCCAATGTCTCATATGTCTTTCTTAAAAACTACTTAACTTAAAAATGTTTAATTAAAGCACAACACTTAAGATAAACATCTAAAAGTAGTTTAGGTGTTAAAACAACTCAATCTACTGTCCCACATGAAGAACTACACAGCTAACGTGTGAGTTTGGGCCACTTCAGTATAGATTTGTTACAGGTTTTGTGGAATTCATTACTTGTTCCCTCTGATATCTCATCCAGCATTTTCTGCTGATATTGGCCCGATTCCAATACCTGAAATCAGGTTGGTGCCATCTCTACTTTGAAATTATGTAATCCTACCTGCATGTTATCAGGGCTATGGTAGTTTACATACCATAGTTTGACCACACCAGCTGGCTTTTACACTGTCAATTTCATGAGAAACAAACAAACAAAAATTATCCAAAATACACACACACACACACACACACACACACACACACACACACACACACACACACACACACGCACACACACACGCACACATATTATCTATGCCACTTATCCTTCTGGGTCACGTGGGGATGCTGTAGCCTATACCAGCAGTCATCGGGCGCAAAGCTGATCCAAAATAACTAGACTGAAATCTCTTTACATTTACTTTATCTGAAAGTTAAAAATGTTTTTTTTTCTCTTTTTTTGGAACTCTGACACGAACAAAACGTTTTCATCGCAAGAAACACAGTGAAATGGGTGTGTTTTCATCCCCCAGACTGAGGCAAATTTATATAAATAAAAAGAGCAGAAAAGTCATTTATTGAGAGTCTATGAATCTTATGAAAGCAGGTCTAAGTTCTGGCTGGTGCCATAACACATTTAGGGGGCAGCAGTGAGGAATGTTTGTTTATTTGCTGTTTGTTAACAACACCTTTAGAGTGCAGCAGTGAGTAGTGTTTCTCTGTTTGAGTTCGGGCTGTGTCCGTCATCAGTTGGGCGCTACTAAGTATGCAGTTATTTATATGGCAGTTAGTCAGTTAAAATATCATGATCATGGGGGCTGTTAAAGTGCTCAGACTTCAATATTGACAGACAGTATTTTAACACCTTATGAGTTAGTCTGGTGTGTTACAGTGGGGAGAATCCTACACTGTGCAGTTACACACTCCTGTTCTAAGGTCTTAAAATGGAAGTGTGTCTAATAAGCCATATTGCTTAAGTGGGTTTTTTTCACTTTACATTTACGTTTCTAGCCTTTGGCAGACACACTAATCCAATTGAACTCACAACTGAATCCTGTTACAGATGCAGGTGAATGCAGCGTTAGGTGTCTTGCCCAAAGACTCTTATTAGATTAGCGTGTAGTTCTTGCCCTCTACCACACTGAGCTCAGCAGTATTGCCCACTAAACTATACCAACCGCTGGTCCCACTTGGTGTGTAAAACTTTGTCTTCTTTTTCTTGCAGAATCTGTCAGGGTACATGACGCCTGTAGGGTCGGAGATGGCAGCCCTGACTGAGATGCGCAGAGTGAGTCCAGCTTCTGCTTTACTCGTTCTGATTTCTTCATTTTCCTTTGCTTGTTGTTTTGCTACATGTGCATAATATTCTGTACTATTTTGTTTTAAAGTCAGGCTTATTAACAGTTGATAATAGGATTAATGCTAGTTGCTATAAATCTTAGGGGTGGGAAATTTCGAGGCACCACACAAGTCAAATTTATTTCGTTTTGAAGAAGATGTCATTATAAAACAATCCTCAGTGCATCTTGATTTTGTTTCATTCTTTAGCTTACATTTTGATTTTCTCCTGTATTTGTCATTAACAGGTTCTGTTAACTTAGTTGAATTTGAATGTTGCCTAAACTTTGTGCTTATGTTATGTCTACAGTCTACTGAAATCTAGAAAGTGAAAAAAGGAACTACGTTTTTGTTTGATCTTTTTGTTCTTTGTGTAGCATATTGTATACAGTAAAGGTCATAGTGTCTGTTTTTCATCAGAAATGAGCTTAGGGCTCCAGACTGTGACTAAAATGGTTGCAATTGTGACCACAATTATTAATTTGCGAGTAATGGAATTAAGTGGCGACAGGTAGTAACTTTGGAGTATACTTTTTGTTTTTATGTATTTTCTTTGAGCGTATTTCATCTTAAAACGTGACGTGAGGTGCTTGTCTATGAAAAAACGCCTGCATGCTCACGGGATTTCAACCAGAGTAGCAAAACACGACAAACAAAGCGGATGAGCCGAGCTGAGCTTTTTGCAGTGAACATTGGCGTGTAGAAAATGGTGAAGCGAAAAATATCAGATTTATTTCACACAATCTACATCTGTCAGACCATAAAAGTTCACCTGCTGACACCGGTCTGACTCAGTTAGGACCAATGAACTAGCAAAAGACTCACACTAAGATGTACTTGAACAGCTGTCCAGCTCAAGCACTTCTGAGCCACGTATATTCCTTGGCTTCAGGAATATACGTGGCTCAGGCGTGATAACATAAAGCAGACTGTATTGCTAACTCTGTTTGAAAGCAAGCAAAGATAAAACTGGAAAATGGATTTCTTAACATAAACGAATCATTTCCAAAAAGAGGCTGTGAAAAAACATGGCAAGGGTCAAACACATTAAAGTGTGCGCGATTTTATTACCACAAAGAGTGCTCCTAGGAAAACTCCCTCAGCCAGCGGAGTGCCTCATGCCTGCGAAAAAAACAGCCAAGAAAGAATTTAAAGAGCGTAAAATTAAATTCAACATAATCTACATGATAGCACGTGAAGCACTACCCTTACCTCCCAAATCTTGCTAATGAAAAAAAGTGGACTGGATGCGTCAAAGACGTATGATAATGTGTATGACATGAATCAGGCATGGTAGACGGCAGAGATACCTAAATCAAAGAGCTGGTCTGAGGTGTGTTGAGGTGTGTGGTTTGTTTTTTGTTTGTTTTGTTTTTTTTTTGAATATTATTATTTTGCAACTTAAAAAAGCTATTGGCACCTGTTTTTTTGTTTTTTTTCTCCCTTTGAGGAGCCAGTGGCTCCTTAAGCTATTTTTTACGCCAAAGTGTCCTTCTTTACAAGATTTATTTTACAGTAGGGGAAACACAGAGCATATATAAAATTCCTATTATAACGTTTTGTGAATCAATTCAGAGTCTTTCAAGAGGCAATTGCGATGCGTCTAAGAATCGATTATGTTTCCCACCCCTAACAAACATCAGCTGTTAAAATGCGAAACGAAACACTTTGTTGATTTGTCCTACTCTTGCTTTGTAACGCTGAATCTTAATTGCTACATCTGCAAGAGCTAAATGTATACAACGGCAGTAATCTCACCAAACATTTTTCTTTTTCGTATTCAATGCTGCTGATGTATCTCGCTTATATCAGGCAATAATGTACAAGTTATGGGTATGTAAAATTTGCACACAGAAAAGAAAGAACTATGAACAAATGCTTTTGGTGGCCTGTTAGCAGAGATGTTGTGCTGAAAAGCATTTGTGAGAGCCCAGTGGGTGCTGTGAATGGTGATGTGCCTTGCCTTCCCAGTGTGTGGAACGTGGAGGTGAAGCCCGAGCACCTTGTGCGGTCTCTTCTCCTATCGTGGTGGCTTCTTGTGTGTTCTTCTGCCCTTCTGTTTGCGTGGCACTGTGGTGTTGTGTGCCTCAGGGAAGCAGTAAGGCTGAGCAGTTTGTGTGTATGTTTCACACTCTTTAGGACAGCTCCAGCTCCGTGGGGTCCGGTGAGTTCACTGGAATCAAGGAACTGGATGATATCAGCCAGGAGATTGCTCAGCTGCAAAGGTATGTTAACATTATTTTCAGCTTTTTCTTATCTAGAGCCACGAGTAGATTATAGCTGGCACAATCACATGAAGTACACAGTCATTCCTTTAAGATTACACAACTTCTGAGTTTTTAAAAAGACCTGCCGGTGGTTTTAAGTTGTAAACCTGTTATAACTGTGAGGCAAACTTATTTAATGACATTAGTTCAAATTAGAAATTAGCTAGTTACACACACATTTTATAAACAAAAAGTATTCCTACAAGAATAAATTTATTCAGTAGTTTTTTATAATATATTTATTATATTATAATCACAAAACGTTTGATAGCTGGCATAAGGGGCAATTGCTTGATTTAGTAATTTATCTGTGTATTTTAGGCAATACTAATATAATACTAATATACCCAAAACTTGGCCTGGGCGATGTGCGGTGTAATTACATATCAGCCATGACTGAAGTACAGTCATGTGCGAAAGTTTGAACAAGCCAGTCATATTATGTTTTGTTGATTTTCTAAGTAAAAATAAGTTAATATATTCTCTAAAGGAAACAAATGTAAATGTGGCATTTTTCTGCAAATTTTACTCCATAGTTTCTGTTTAATGTGTCGTTTAATGTATGGGGAAAAGACATAACATAAAATGTGCAAGAACTTTTGCACAGGCTGAATATTATTTTGTTCAAATTCAGCAAATAAACAGTAATTGTACCTTAGAATGTGCAGAAGTGTGTTTTACTTTCACTTAGGCTGGGCCTACACTACACGATTTATTGCCTGATTTTAAGCCCAGGTTGCCCATTGCAACAAATTTTCACAATCTGAAGCAATTTTCCAGGTTGCGAGCTCAATTGGAAGCAACTGACGATGCGGATGATCTGGTAGTGTGAGAGGAGAAACGAGTGAATTTTTAGCCTCCGATATTATTAAACGTTTGATATTTATGACTCAGAACATTCACGAGTCCTGTAATATGAGATGGTCAGAGGTTTACTTAACAAGTGATTCAAACAACAGCCAGTCAGAGAGCTAGAAGAGCGGAGTAAAAGGCGAAGAGACATGCATACACACCGCCTTAACAGAGGCAGATACAGAGGATCTGCATGTAAAACACAGGCAGATAAGAGCCGATATCATGTTTATAATGTTGGATCCAGACGTCAAAACACTCTCTTTACAATTTCAGCTCAGCTGCCAGTTTGTAGTGAAACATTTCTCCAGCTCTCACTGTATCAGCACTTCTCAACCCCATATTAATCCCCACTTTGCGCTTTCGCTGCTCATAAAAGCTCAAACAGGTCCAGTACGTTTAGCTTTGTTTGTGTCATGTGATCAGAGCAGATCTGGGAGTTTGAGTTCTTCTTCATAGCCGAAACTCGTTGTGTGTTGTGCGCTCTCTTTGCCCTGTCGTCTAGTGTGAGCTCACACACGACAAAAGGACAAGAAGCATGTTAAGATTTGTGTAGTGTACGCCCAGCCTTAGAAAATCAACAACACATGCCGTTCGGCCAGGGGCGCCCAAACATCCGCATGACTGTAACCCACTGATGATGCTTCAGAGCTGATGGAAAAGAGAACTGATAGAGACCCAAAGAGGACAAACTTAATTTAAAACGTCTTGCTAAAAAAATTAAATAATTTGTATTTAATATTCTATTGAAACAATATATTCCTTTTTTGAGTGGTTCGAATAGTTTTTAATAATGCCTGAAACATTCATGTCAGATTTGACTGAAATGCCAATCCCTAATTTGGTTCTGTCCACTTGCTTATTTTGAGTGTAATATTAGTGTTAAGTGTGGCAGATTACCACCTCATAATAGGACATGATTAGTAGCCTGGCCATATCTATCATATGGAGCTTTTTTAAATATATATCATATGTACCTAAGTTTTTCTAGATGTTAATACAAAGCATGAAACATACCAAACATACCAGCTGACCCTACTACTGTACCTTAAGATGTTTTAGAATGCTTCACATTAAAGCCGGCAATATACTTCACACGGAAATGACATTTCGAAGCAAAAACAAGGACTTTTTGGCCAAAATGGCGCAATAGTTTGAGTTCATACGGCGCAGCGGGTGCTGTTTACTATACAGAACTCGTAATCATCGCCTCATTTGTTCTGAGACCTCCCCCTGACTGCAGTTGGTCCAAATCACTGCATCATTTGTTCCGAGACCTCCCCCTGACTAGGACTGGTCCACTGTATGAAGTGGGCCTTTTTTTGTAATACTGAGACATACAGTGATATATTTTTAAGTAGACTCACAACATTGTTTGGTTTCATTTTCTTTAGCTGCTCAGTGTTTGAATTATACTGCCAGCTTAAGTGTTTTTGTTTATGTCTGTCTTTTGTCTGTGAACATTAAGTTTGTCTGTCTTCATGGTAAAAAAAAAAATATCATGCCTCCTCCTGCCATCTCAAGTGTTTCCAGTTTTTTTGTTTAGCATCCTCCTCAAGCCCACAGTGAGCGTGTCCCTTTTGAAACTGGTTGCTTTGTAGATGTGTTTGGACAGAAAAGAAAGCTGCTGCTAAAATGCACACATGAAAGGCAAAAGGAAAGGTAAAGCAGATCTCCTGCTCCTGGTGGTGGCTGAGTGTGTCCCTCTCACTGCCGAACGTAGCCTCATCTTCACCTCCTCTGCCCGCCTCCTTTAACGTGTGTATTTTATGAAATCTTTTGTTCTCATCACTTACTCTTCATGCTGCCACAGCACACTTGCTTTTACTCACTGGGACATGCTCAGGTAAAACTCTCTTTCAGCTTTTTTCTTTTGGTTTTAGTTTCTGTGATGGTGTTTGTGTGGAGGAGGCACGTTTGGACGATTGGATCTGCACTTTCTCTGCACTGGCTGATAAGGACTCTCTCCTGCTTTCTGTCTGTCTGTGCTGTCATGTCTGTTTGTGGTTATCAGGGAGAAATACACGCTGGAACAAGACATTAGAGAAGCAGAGGAGGCCATCAGACACAAAACTACTGAAGTCCAGGTAAAGGGGCCTCAGAACGTCTGGCTTTTTTATTTGTACACATAATCAGCAAGACTGGACTGACTTATATAGTCAGTCAGGATTCTCCAATGAAGTTACATTGGTTCCGGGACTAGACTAAAGATGTATGGAAAATAAGTCCTTAACAGTACAGTGGAGTCCATAAGTAATTGGACAGGGCTCTGTTTTTATTATTTTTTTCTTCTGCACCTCATATATTAGATTTTAAAGATTTTATATACAGACTAGGCCAACCAGTTGGCTAAGAAAGACACTAAATTGATTCCCAGTGATGCCAAAGTCACTGTCCAACATATAGACTGTGTTGTGTGTATCGTGCTAATGGTGTACATCAGGTAATTCAAGTAATTACAACCCCATTTCCAAAAAAGCTGGGATTTTCCAAAACAAAATGCATTGATTTAAACCCTGTATTACATTGAAAATGCTTCAAAGACAACAAATCAAATGTTGAAACTGAGAAATTCTATTGTTTTTTGAAAAATATTTGCCCATTTTGAATTTGATGCCAGCAACACGTTCCCAAAAAGTTGAGACGGAGGTACCAAAAGACTGGTAAAGTTGTGTAATGCTAAAAAAACACCTGGGGCTTGATTGACCACAGGTCAGTAACATGATTGGGTATAAAAAGAACATCCCAGAGAGGCTGAGTCTTTCAGAAGTAAGGATGAGGAGGGGTTCATCACTCTGTGAAAGACTGCATGATCAAATAGTGCAACAATTCAGGAATAACATTTCTCAACATAAAATAGCAAAGAACTTTTGCTTTTCATCATATACAGTACATAAAAACATATCTAAATGGGCTCCAGTAAATTACCACTAGCCCTATGTTGCTGGTTTATGATATCTAGGAGATGCAGAATGATCTGGACCGAGAAACGTGCAGTCTGCAGGAGCTTGAGGCCCAGAAACAAGATGCTCAAGACCGGCTGGATGAGATGGACCAGCAGAAGGCCAAGCTGGAAGATATGCTCAATGAAGTGCGTCAGAAATGCCAAGAGGAATCCCAAATGGTGAGTTCATACCCTGCGTCCCGTACACAAAATTAAGCTGATGGGAAAACAAGATGCACATTTTCTTGTTAATTAATTCATTTTTTAATCTCTTTTCTCTATTATTATACAAAATGAGATGAACATGAAAAATAGTGGGTTGCACCTTTGCTGATCAGTCCAGATGTGTGCTTGGGATTTTGAGCTCCAAAGTCCTGTCCACTCGCTTTACATATTAAAAAACAAGGTGTTCTTTAAAGTGAAGTTTTCTGGAATTCAGCTTTAGTTGCCTTTGGGAAACTATGAAGTGTTATATTCTCATAATTTTACAAGCTGGTTAAAATTAAATTCTTTAGTTATTAGCGTCCACATTATTACATTAATTCAAATGCATAAATAAAACGGCAAAGTATATATTAATGAACCCTTTCTTTTGGTTTCCCACTGATTGAGTTTCGGTTTGGGTTTCTGTCAAACATTTTTGAATCGATGCATCACTGGTGCTCTGTAAATAAATTTTACTTACCGCTTACTAACTTACATTAAATCAAGACCTTATTCAACATGTCATCATAGCTTAGGTGGCTAAATTGTTTTTGCAGATTAATTCATCAGAATGGGAAATGCTGATCATGCATTTCATGAATCTAGTTTAAGTGTTCACTGGCCAGAAAGTATGCTGGTGTTATTTTAATATCAGACTTGGAGGCGAAGACACCATGGCTTTGTTCAACATCACCTTTAAGACCTTTTGAACACCTGCATCACCCACACTTCACTTGGTGGTTATTTTTTTCTTGTTCAGTTGATGTCTATATTTTTTTTTGTGTTTTTCAGGACAATTTAAGGAATTTGAGGAATTTGCAGCCTGTGGTCAAAACCAGAAAAAACATCATTGTTGAGCATTTTTTTTTTTAATTTTCTTTTTTTTTGCATGTGTTTTTGTGTGTTCAGATCTCCTCCCTGCAGACTCAGATCCATTCGCAAGAGTCGGACCTGTTGAACCAGGAGGAGGAGCTGAGCCGGGCCAAAGCAGACCTGAGCCGACTACAGCAGGAGGAGAGCCAGCTGGAGCAGAGCCTCCAGGCCGGCAAGATCCAGCTGGAGACCATCATTAAGTCACTCAAGGCCACCCAGGACGAGATTAACCAGGTACCATTTTACTACAGGTTGTGCTGGTTTGGCCCTTAACTGCCATTTTTAAGGTACTTTTTTTGCCGAGTAACATTTTCCAGATTTCCTCTCCCCTCCAAACTCAAATATGTCCAAGGACCAAAACTGAGGTTTTGAATTTCATTGCCTTGTTTGCACTGTCCTTGTTTATAAACACCAGATTAAAAAAAATGCTTATGAAGGAGGAAAAGTTTCTCTGAGATCTTGCAGCAGCTACAGGGAATTGACAAGAGCAAATGGTCACATGCAATGAAACTGAAAAAAAGAAGTCATTTTAGGAATAATGGAGTGGCTTTTAGTTGTTAAACATCAAAAAACAGCACATTTGTTATCAAAGAGAGCCATAACCACAGCCCATATCATCATATGCATAATAGAGGAAGGTTAAGAGTCTAACATTGCATGTTGCACTTGAGTCCACTAGAGGGTGATACATTAATACTCTGCATGTTTAGGTTCATATACAGTGTAGGTTCCACAGTATGCAGGCTTCACTGGTATTTAAGGGTGGAGTAATGCTGTGATATTGAGTCACCATAATCAAATACGTTGGCTTACAACTTTCCATGTGAACTGCTCTGCATTCCGATGGTGTAAGACTGTAGAGCTGTCACTATTAATTGTATTAGTAAGTTGTAAGTAATCAGACAATGATTTTGGCTGTTAATCATGTGAAAGGCCAATAACAGTAGAACAGTTAACCGAATGATAACAAACCATGCAAAATGGTACAAAATAGGTTGCCAGAAAGAGATAAATAAAGAAGACTTAAAAAAAAAAACCTGTTACAAACAGGATATTACAACAAAACCTCTACCTGTCTGCCACATTCTGTTTTCACAGATCAGTAGAGGGGAATTCCATCGTTTTCATTTAGATGTAAACAAAGTCAGAGTGGTTTGATGTGAAATGGTTAATTGTAGAGAAACTTGCTGACTTAGACTTATTTACAGCAGTGGTAAAGCACAAATACCATTTTATTTACTCTCCAAATCCACCTACATGTGTCTTTTGAGTTTTTATATGTAATTTTGATTAAGGTAAAATAGTGGAAACATCTGAAAAAGCTTTCTTTGAGGACCACTTTGCCTTAGAGTGTCCTGAATGCACCTCTTCGCCATGCGTATATTTAAAAACATATGATTTACACCTAATACCTTTCTAAAAACTATTATAAGTCAATGTCACAGGCATCAGGCAGTGTATTCATAACTTTCTGTGAGAAAGCTGACGTTAAACGCTTCAGATGTGTCTGGTTTTATTGCCACCACCTTGAACAATTCTTGGTAAGTTCCTCTAGAACTAAACTACTCCGAATTTAATAATATTTACATGTTTAGCGATGTAATTATTCAGATATTTTTTTTTGAAAATGATAGGTTGAATTCCTCTTTAAGCCTTGGAAAAGTGAAAATAATGCAAAAGAAAATAATGAATGCAAGTTGTTTATTACATTACACGCTGTTCTGTATTGAAGGCTCGCAGCAAGCTGTCCCAGATCCAGGACAATCAGCACGAAATGAGCAAAAGCATCGAGCAGTATAGCAGCGCTCTGAACGGCACACACGGGGGCAGCATGACCAACCTGGCTGACATGAGCGAGGGCTTCCCAGAGAAGGAGAACGGAGGCTTCGGGGCCATGGTGAGACCCTGGGCCTTTTCTATGGTTTCGTTTCTGAGCAGTGGGTTACACTTCATCCCCTTATCTCGAACTAAAAATGGATGTTTTTATAAAAGTAGTGGGCAGTGCACCAGTTTATCATGAGTGTTCCGGATGCATGTATGAGACAAATGACTTGAGAAATTTGACTAAGCTGAAGCTGGCTTCTTCTTATTCAGAATTCCTGTTCCACCTTAAATGGTGCTGCAGTTACTTTGAGGCACCTGTATAGGTGCCTGAAGGTAACTGCTGCATTTAAGGTGGAATGGAAAGTTTGAACAAAAAGCTGCCCAATAAGAAGCCAGCGTCAGCCTTCAGTGAGGTTAGATGTGAAACAACGTTCCTATTTTACCAGCTTTCAGCACAGTTTTAAACACTGTTAGCATGTCTAGCCCCTTTTCCTCTGCAACGGGACTTTTTTCAGTTCTAATCTAACTTTTAATTTTTAATTTGGTTATTTAACTATCCTAATTTAATTTCTAATTTGAGTTTTAATTGAATGATTTTCTCATTTAAATTTATTGTTTCAGAACTGTTTTAATTATGTTTTTAATGTTATTTTCAATTCTGTTTTTCTGTTCATGTTTACTTTTTTTTTTAAACAGCTGAATTTTCGGATTCATTATTTTCTCATTTCTAAAGCACTTCGAATGACAGCAGCGTATGAAAGGTGCTATATATATATATATAGACCTGCCTTGCCTTGCCTGTTTTTGCCAGGCCTGCAAGGCTAGTGTTAGAAAGCAGTATTGACGTAGGTTTATATACAAATTGCTCAGTTTTGATTTGGCTGTTTTGCATTTCTTTCAGTTTAATGGAAAAAAATCATAGTGCAGGTTTAAATATACTGTACAGCCAAGAGCAAAGCTGGTCCAGGACAGTTATAAAAAGGGCCGCCTCAATGAGTGCAAATGCATGTTCTTTTGCCTTCAGGAGGACCCCTTCAAAGTGAAGACCAATGTGTTCAACAGCAACTCTCAAGAGATGCACACAGACCCCTTCCAGTCTGAAGACCCCTTCAAATCTGACCCTTTCAAAGGTTCTGTTGAAGTTATCTGTTTCTCTCATCTCCCCCTCATCGCTTCTCTGCTTCTTTGCATGTTTGATCATATAACCCCCAGCCTTCACTGACCAACACGCTGTCTGAATGGAAGTCGTTTTAGTGCAGAAGTGTTTGGCCCAATCCCATTTCTTCTGTTTACCCCTACCCCTTGTTTTCGAGTGTCACCCTAATCCCTTGGAACTGAGTTACAAGGGGTAGTGGTTGAAATCTTGCCCTACGAAATGGGACCCTCAAATAAATAAAAAAAAAAACATTGCTTCATTAACAGCTACTAGCGCTGCTCTGTAGGCGTCTCGGCCCGTCTTCAGTGATAGCAGAGAAGGGAAAAGTTCAGCTCCTCACTGCTGGGCTTTGGTTACATTTAGGGCATAAAACAATTATTTGTTATCGCTCACCGCTAATTCTTTGGTGGTACAAAGCTGAAGTCAGCTATTTACTAGCTTCTTGTTCGAATTTCCCTGTTCCACCTTAAATGGTGCAGCGGTTACATTCTGGCGTTTTAGGTGTCAATACTGCCAGACTATTTAAGGTGGATTGGGAAAGTTAGCTAGCTGCCGAAACATTAGCATGCTATTAGTGATTTTTTATGCTTGTTATGAAGAAAATGTCCATAATACATTGAAACGACATTAAACTAAGATAATACAATGGTTATCGTAATTTTGTAATGGAGAAAATTCTCACATTTGTGGGTTTGTTTGGTTGCTCGCGCCACCATCTTGCCGGTTTTTCTTTTTTCTGATAACACTCCGTTTTGAGTGTGCCTCTGAAAAACCTCTGTTTGGAGGGCCATGTAGCCCCTAACACTTCGCCCCTACCCCTCTATCTCAACAAAAATTGGGACACCCTAACCCTTGACGAGATTGCGCAAAACAGAGGGCTGAGGGCTAAGTGGTAGGGGCAAGGGGTGAAATGGGATTGGGCCTTTGTATCTCTGTACTTAGTTATGTGGCTCTGAAGTCTCTCTTTCGATAGCTACTGAATTCTCTCTCTATTTTATTTATAACTTCCCTGTAGGTGATCCTTTCCAGAATGATCCTTTTGCCAAGCAGCCGCCCACAGCTACAGGTATCCAGTTTGTCCAAATGCGTTGTAGGAACAGTACTGTTAAAATGCGCCTTTGTGTACATCTTTGTCTTGATGTCTAAATTTTAAGGAGTGGTTCGGTGAGAAATCAAGTACACAATTTCCCGCTTACTCCAGATGTAGTCGATGATTCAAGCCATGTTTGGCGTCCAAATTTTTCTTGTTTAATTTAGTGTGGGAGCTCTGAACCTTACATTTAAAGTCAGTAGTCAGCCAAAACTTTTTCGGAAATACATCCTCTCCAAAAACTTCGCTCAAACCACACCTAGATGGACATTAAGGTCGCACAGACTTGTGGTTTAGAACAAAACGAGCAAAACGTTACTGTCTCTTAACGCAAACATACACAGTTTCTGATGTTTCTGTTTATAAACAGTTTCAAAATTCAAGATCCACAGTTATAAAAGAACAATGGAAATTGCAATGTAATCTCTAGCGTCCGTATGCCTGCGTCATGGTTGTCATCTGTGTCCACAGTATCTAGCTACACAGTGAAGTTTTGTACAAGTTTAACTCGTACTGCATCCTACACAAAGAGCTGTATGTAGTTTCAGTGAGTTGAAAGATGTTTTTGGGGATATTTTTGCGGAAAACGTTTGGGTTGCGATTGACTTCTAGTGTTTGTTAGCAACATTAGCTCTTTGTACCGCTAGGTTAAAAACAAAAGAAACAAAATTTGGGCGCTGAGCGTATCTGGACTGACCGATTAGAACTGCGCTAAATGGAAAATTGTGTACATTTGATTTTCGCTGAACCATTTCTTTAAGGAAACGCTTGAGTGTTGTGCTCTAAGATTGGCATGGATTGCATCACCACGTTCAGTTACACTGGCACACTTCTCTCTTTCTAATATGTAACTTTCAGTTCTTCAACTCTCATACTAAATTGGGGTCATTCTGAAAGTGTAAATTGGGGTCATTTTGAAAGTTTAGCATGGGAGTGATGTTGTGTAATAATAAATGGGTGAGTGGATTGAGAAAGAGAGTTGTTTACTATCTGTGAGTGTAAAAAAGCTGTGTAAGGTTGTGTTGTAGAGGTCAAACGATATGTTTTTTTTTAGGGCCTCTACCGATATTGATTATTAGTAATCAAGGATACCGATAAACAATATTTAGGGCTGATATTCATTTACCATAAATTTGATGTTTGTAATGTACAAAATTGATAAGAATGCAGTTCTTACTCACAACTTATGTTATTATGACCAAATCAGTATTTGCTAATTTGTTCATGTTTTGTCACACTTAAGTCTTATTTACTGGCTTAAATGGCCAGGCTGTTTTTTCAAGTATAAAGGCCCCAAAAAAGCTTGATGTATTGTTTTTATTGTTTATGTAGCATTACTGCATACACAGTTTCTCCATTTACATTACTGTATTCAGTGAATATTCAGAAAGATTTCAGAATTGTACCAAAATAATCAAGTCTAAGTGAAACATGGTAAAATTTCAATTGTTGTGAAATAATTTAATGATTGATAATAATCGTAATCAAATCTCTGGTCAGAAGTGTACACCCCATATGTTGAGTGTAGGAATTCTTAAGTAGTGCGGTGAGAAAAAGGGTCTGGAATAAGAACTTGTGAGGAAGATATGAAGGATGATGTTGTATCTGCTCACAAACTCAAGACACTGTCCTCTTACAGATCCGTTTGGGGGAGATCCTTTTAAAGAGACAGACCCATTCAAGACCACTTCAGAAGACTTCTTTAAGCGGCCGACCAAGGCCGATCCCTTCACCAGCTCTGATCCGTTCAGCAAAAGTGCTACTCTCCCAGCAAAGGTAAAGGAGCTATCAGAAATGAAGTTGATCTTTCTTTCTGAATAAATGCTACATAGAGTAGCTGAACGATTAGGGGAAAACATTTAGGCCAAGTTTTTTGAAGAGCTGAATGTAGGTCAGTGTCAGATGGCCAGTTAGTTGTGGTTGTGTTATCATGCTTACATCATGTGGTTGTGAAGGGAAAGGGAAAGGGCTCGAATCAAACGTTTGGGCTCTCTGAATTGTCAGAACTTAGTAGCACCCCCTTTAGCAAGTATCAAAGCTTGTAAACGCTTTTTGTAGCCAGCTGAAATGTTCTTTAAGTCTTCTAGTTCTGTGAGATTCTTGGGCCATCTTGCTTATGCTGCCCTTTTGAGGTCTATGCCCAGATTTTTGATGATGTTTTTAGGTGAGGGGACTCTGAGGGCCACGGCAATACCTTCAGCTTGCACCTCTTCGGTTAGTCCATTGTGAACTTTGAGGTGTGTTTAGGATCATTGTCCTGTTGTAGAAGCCATCCTCTTTTCATCTTCAGCTTTTTTACAGAGGTGTGATGCTTGTTTCTCCAGATTTTGCTAGATCTTGCTGAATATTTTTTTTGCAGTCAAATTTTGATTTGCCTTTATAGCAGTCCTACAAACAATTCTCTCAAAGTTTTCTTGACCACAACTTGACCTCTACCGTTCTGGTCCATTTCTTAATTACATTACGAACCGAGGAAACAGCTGCCTGAAAACACTTTACTATCTTCTTACAGCCTTCTTCTGCTTTGTGGGCATCGATAATTGTAATTTTCAGAATGCTAGGCAGCTGCTTAGAGGAGCCTGTGGCTGCTGATTGTTGGGCTTGAGGAGTCAGAGCATGTATAAAGCTTTGAAATGTGCATCATCCGGTCTTTCCTAATGTTGATTGTGAACAAACCAAAACCCTAACAAGCTAATTAATGTCTGACGCCTTGGTAAAAGTTATTTGAGAGCTCGAATCTCTTTAGCATGGTGTTCCTTTAACCTTTTGTCTCTGAAATTGTCCAGAAGAAAAATATTATACTAAGCTTGCAGAAAATGTTGAAAAGAATGTTTCATCTTTAACTTTATGCCTTTTAGAGATCAGTTCATCTTCTACTCACTTAATTATTCACAGAAATAGGAATTTTGACCAAGGGTGCCCAAACTTTTGCACACCACTGTATATACAAACATGTATAGAGCCCTTAGTCTGTCCACTCGGTGGCCATCTTGGCAGTGTCCCCAGGCAGGCCAAAAGTAGCTGGACACCTGACCGTCAAACCTATACAAGCTGGTTGGACACCCATTCTAAAACCATAAGCATTAATATGGAGTTGGCTCCCCTTTACAGCTATAACAGATTGGCACTGCGCAATTGGCATCGGGGTAGTGATTCTTAGGCTTGTGTGCAGCTGCTTGACCACGGAAACCCTTTTAATGAAGCTCCTGACACACAGTTCATGTGCTGGTGTTGTTTCCAGAGCAGTTTGGAACTGTAGTGAGTGATGCAACAGAGCACTTTGTAGCTCCACTCAGTGAATTTGTGTGGTCTCCTGCTTTGTGGCTGAGCTGTTGTTGCTCCTACACACTTCCATTTCACAATAATAGCACTTACAGTTGACCGGGGCAGATCTATCAGGGCAGACATTTCACAAGTTGACTTGTGGGAAAAAAAATGACATCCTATGACAGTGCTAAGGTTGAAGTCACTGAGCTCTTTAACACAACTCATTCCACTGCCTGTGTTTGTCTAGGAGATTGTTTTACTACGTGCTTTATTTTATACACCTGTTTGCAGTAGGTGTGGCTGCGATACCTGAAGTCAATAGTTAGTTCCACATACTTTTGCCCATATAATATATTTTCAGTCACAAAAGACCAGACATCTCTGTCTTTGAATAGAGAGAGACATATAAACACAAAACTGAAGGTCACGTTAATATTTCAAACTCTGCCACGTTACTTTAGCTTGTTCTGGCTACTGGGCATGTTCTTATCTGCACAACGAGGATGGGCTTTAACCACTTGTGGCTTTGCCAGTAAGACAGTTGGCTCTTTTCAATGAGGGGCGGGACTTTCCCCCTATGCTGAGCATTACAAGATATCCCATTCATTTTTCAGCCAGTGAATTGTCTCCTCCGCCTTTATAATATCTCTGGTTGGTTCTGATTGGTCTAATTAATTTACAAGCTCTTTGTCATTGGGTAAATTCTTTGTTTAAAACTTGTAGACTATAAATAAAATTGCTGGTTATGCAATGTGAAAGTTGCGCTCTTTAAAATTGCAATTTCAATATATATATATATATAAAAGAATAATATTTCACCGAGCTTGTTAATTTAACCGTTTCTTATCTGTTCTTTTTGCAGTCTCATCACTTCTCAAGCAACGATCCTTTCGCTTCAACCAGTCCCAAACCGAAAGGCTCAGGTACTCTTTCCTTTCTTGCTGAGTCATCTCAAGCTTAGTACCTGCCCTTGACGTCTTCCACACTCAGACAACACATTTCCTCACTCTCTGAATACAGCTTATGCTGGTCTAGTGCCCCCTTACACCCTAGGTCACTGTAAAAGGTCAGTGTCTGTTTATCTCTCTGTTCACTAAGATGTGTCTTGAGAGAGGACTGTGGTAAGAGTTGCACAATGCAGACAGGGGCTGTTTTCACACATTGTGCCCCAGAGTGATTTCTGGCCTAGCGCAGGGCTCAGAGAAGGTGACGAGAGTATTTCGAGAGCAGAAGTGAGAAGAAGCTGTTAAGACAGTTCCCATGCTCAGCGTCCCGACCATCCTCTCTTGAGCCCTCTGCCAGCTGAAAGGATGGGACGTTCATCTGCTGTTATAGTAAACAGATTCTGTTGCAGATGTTTTTTTTTATTATTTTTTTTTAATTCTACTACGGTGCCAGGAAGTGTTTGTCTGTTTTTTTTTTCTACATGTAGTGGTTAGGAAAAAAAAAAGAAAGAAACAACTCTGAAGATAACTTCAGTGTCTTTGAAGATCACTTGAAGATGCTGCATTTTTTTCTCACTAGTGATGCACTGAGTTTCCATGACCGGTTGCTGTCACATTTGCATTTAAAAACATAGTTTTAAACCACGAGACCTTGAGGTTTATTTGTTTCTTTCAAGTCTATTTCAAGTGAAATAAGTAGCAAGTAATGAGCTGTTCAGCTGATATCACGAACACATCAGTTCAGTATTTTAACATACATAGCTTAATGTAGCTATAGTGTTTCAGTGTGTTTTGTGAATGTCTCAAATTGTATGACGTGCACAATTACATGTAAAAAAAATAAATAAATAATGCAAAATGTAATGCACAGAATTACCAGATTTCTTTTTTTTTTTTGCTGTCTAGAAAGTTATAAAGTTATTGTTACCTTAATCTCTGCTTGTAGATCCCTTCGGCACTCTGGACCCCTTTGGAAGCAGCTCATTTGGCAGCAACAGTGGATTTGCTGACTTCAGCCAGATGTCTAAGGTATGAGGCCAACATCATACCGGGCTGGTGTTCATACCTCTCTGGATGCAGCGACTTGAAAGTTTTGATTCTGATCGTCTATATTATAGATGATATTTTCTTGTTTTTTTTTTTTCATGTGAGAATAAATATGAGCAAGAACTACATTTGGTGCAAAAGTATGGATTTTGTCATCCTTGCAGAGCTACCAGCTAAACCTGTTTGAAGAACAAGGGAACACCCTGAACGTGACTTAAATGTCTTTCAAATCCTAAGATCACAGCACTTTAAGCAGTTACAGTACTGTGCAAAAGTCAGAGACTTTTCATTTATATCTTTCATTTATTTAATTTCAAGTGACAATAACCATTAGGTACAAGTTATTAAATTTTCTGGAGATATCAGGAGATTAGATATCAGATAAACCTCTTGCAGAAGGAAGAGGAAGGTCCAAGAAAAATAAGTAAAAGGGGGTAACATTTTCTCTGTAAATCTACAGAGAAAATGGGACTCCTAACTAGGGCTGCTCGATAATGGCAAAGATCATAATCATGATTATTTTGGTCAGTATTGACATCACAGCTATTTAACATGATTACTCATTGACTTTGGAAACATCATTCATTTAATGAACTTTTAAAAATTAAAAAAAAAAAAAACATCTTTTTAACAGTGGATTTCCTTGAACTTTAAATATAATTCACCTGAAAAACAAATAATAAAAAGTTAAATGAATAAATGATATATAATATGTAAGTCTATATACATGGAAAAAAATTATACGTAAAAATAAACAAGATTGAAATAAATAGGATGGAACTATGTTGCAGTGCACTTCCACAGCCTACTGAGAACTACTAAACATACATAAAAAATAATAAATAAAAATAAATTAGACCAAAATAAATTAGGTGAATTTGGGCTTTTAGGGAGGGGCGAAGCGCACCACTGTGAAGGAAAGGGGTGAGCTGGATATTTATAACACAAAAGAAAATGAGAGCATCAGTGTGACACAAAAAAGATTTTATCTTGATTATCTTGTTTTCGTAATCATTGGAAGCCAAAATTGTAATCGAAAATAAAATTCGATCAGTTGCTCAGCTCTGCTCGTAAGAACTGGATTGTGAGAAGCAGGAACTGCAACCATCTTCTAAGACTGAACTTTCCACACCTTCGAAGATATCCCAGCAGATTTCTTTGAAGAACTGAAAGTGAGTCTCCTGAAAACAGTACAAGCTGTAATAAAAGTAAAGAGTGGACACACTAAATGCTGAAAAATAATTGTTATGTGTAGTTTTGGGACTTATGTGAAACTTCCTGTTAAATAAATTTCACTGAAAGATGAGTAACTTGTACTTAATGGCCGTCTTGACTGGATATTAAATAAATAAAGGGTGGTTTCTCACTTTTGCCCTGTACTGTATGTGCTCATGATGATGTAGTACTGATTATCACACATCACTGTTTGCATTTCTGTAAACTGCTGAGCATTTGAGTGATGCTCTAATGCTTCTTCACTTACTTGAATTTGCACTAGCAGTGGGTGATTTGAAAAAAATATAATATTGCAGCACTTCAAGAGATTTTCACGATGCACAATATGTCACAATATTAATTTCCTCTGACGTGATCTGACTATAAGTTAGAACTGACAAAAGAAATAGCAGTGCCACATTTAAAATACAGTAAAAAAAACTTTTTTTCAGTATTTCACAAACTGCACTGCACAAAATCCAGTTAAGCTGGAGAAATGATGCTCTTTTTGTAATGAAACATACAGCTGATCAGTATTTAATAAGTACTGATGATATACACTATATACCCCAAAACACATTGTTTCATAATGCTAAATATTGTCATATCGTCCATCCTTAATTTGCACTTTATAAACTTTGTGAATTGTTGGCCTCTGTGAATCTCTGGCTAGTTGTGCGGTTCACCACCTCCTATTTTTCTATGGTTCAAACAGCAGGGCTTCGTAGATGACCCCTTCAGTCGAAAGCAGGACACTCCAGCTCTCCCGCCCAAGAAGACCATCCCGCCTCGGCCCAAGCCTCCCAGCGGTAGGTTTTAGAATGAGTGACGACACAAGGTCAAAAGTCAAACCATGCTGATTTTAGAATACCCAGAACATCTTGAAAGTCTTCTCTAAAACTGCTTTCACACAGGGAAAGACACTGTTGTACGTTTGAATATTTTTTTTTTTTTCTTTTTTCCATTTGACTGCCTACACCATCTCACGCTTTAAGTATGCACATCAGGGTCACACATGAAAGGTCAACAAACAGTCTTGATTGACCACAGTTGTGTCAGGCGAGGAAAACAGGAAATGTAGATTTATAACAGATTATATTTGCATTTTTTTTATCTTAACTTTGTGTAGTTGTCCAGTTTGTGAGTCTTACTCTTCTAATGATGGCTGGCTGGTAACTTACAATGAATAATTCTTAATTGAACAAATTGTTCCATCTTTACTGTGCATTGTTTAATTGTGCAAGTTCTGCATTGTTTAAATATGCAAGTTTAATCAGTGCAGCTCACTCGAATTGTTAAGACTATGTTTTTTTTTTTCCTAGAAGCTGGAGAAAATTGTTGCGGTGTTCTAAGAGGTGTTTTAATACGAGGTTAGAAGAAGAGGTTTAGTTGGTATATTAAGGGGGGCATGACAACGTCTCCATTGCTTCAATCATCTGCGGTTAGCCTGCACTGCCAGCATCGTGTGCTGATCTCCACACCCTTCCCCACTTCCTCTGTGTGTGTGTGTTTTTACTCACACACTTTGGTGAACAGGGTGACTTCTCTGCCACAAACTCACACAGATATTTTCACATAGTGTACCCCACAGCTGCTTTCTCGTAAACTTCTGAACATACTGTTGACACTTCTCTTTTTTTATTGCATGGACAAGCAATTTTTCCTCACTTTGTATTAAATAAACGAGTTCAATGTAGCATGTAAAAACTTTTCAAAATGTACTGTCCATACAGGCTGTGAATGGAAACTAAACTCATGTTGAATTCATTGTTTTTGTTATGTGACAAAAACCACCATATTTACATGGACCCACCTTTTTGGACTACAGCAGCTTGGCTCCACCCATTCACGTTGAAGTTACAAGGAATGTACTTTTTAAATGAGATACAATGCAGACCAGCCAATCAAAACTGAGGTCATTTGCATGTTTAGCGAAGTATTCAGACACTGTAGTTTTTGTTATTTAATATACAATGCATGTATCCGATTCAAATTTACACACATTTTTTTGACTTCATACTTATAAATATTACCAAAAAAGTATGTATTCATAAACATAAACGAATATATTTTTTAAAAAAAAGAAAAGTAAAAAGTATTCAGGCATTACAAATTAATATTAGTATATTGCAAAGCTCTTCCTGCCAACTGCTTTGAGGTAACTATGGTAAAAAGTAATTAGCTTTTGCAGCATCGTTGACCAGTTTTGGCCTGTTCCTCTTGGCAAACCATCTTCAGCTCCCTGAGGTTACAGAGGTCTCGCTGTTTGATCTCAATTCCAAAATATTTCTTAAATGTTCAAAGGGATTCAAGCCAAGATATTGGCAAGGCAGTGCAAGCACCTTCACGTTTTTAGAAACCAGAGTTATTTTGGCTGCATGTTTGAGGTCATTGTCTTACTGAAACCTCAGTGACGCATAACGGCCCAGTACTGTTGGCAGTGAAGCAGCCCCATATCACGATACTCCCACCTTCGTACTATACTGTGTGTTTGTGGTGTGCTTTGGATCGTACACGCAACCCTTTTTCTCCACACGTGACAAACTTAATTATTGCCGAAGAGTTCTATTTTTGTTTCATCTGATTTGTGTAAATGCTCATGTGCAAACTTTAAACAAATTTAGCAGAGTTCACATTTCTGTGCATCTTTTTTAGCAGTGGAGTTTTGCAGTTGCAGTTCTTTGCTTATTGGTCTTGGTGTAACTTGTTCCTGCTGCTTTCAGGTCATCCTGCAACTCTTCAAGTAATTGCTGGCTTCTCTCTTACCTTCCTTATTATTAGTTAGGGAGAAATCATGCATGGCGCCCCTGTCTGGGGACAATAAGCAATGGTTTTAGTTTTCCAAATTCATCCCTGATTGTGCTGACAGGGGTGTTTTATGGTCTTTGCTGTGGCTTTGAAGCTTTTTCCATTCGAGTGCTGTTTACAGTGTTGTCCTACAGAACTTCACCTCCTCAAGGCTCCATAAACTTCACCATGATTGCTGCTTGACATGTTCCTGACCAGTGGCAACATCTTTTCTAATGACACCAGGAGCAATGTGTGTGAGTGTGTGAGTGTGTGAGTGTGTGTGTGTGTGTATGTATACATGTGTGTGTATACATGTGTGTGTGTGTATGTATGTATGTATGTATGTATATATATATATATATATATATATATATATATATATATATATATATATATATATATATATATATATATATATACCTTTTTCTCTATCATTTTTTTAAATGATGAGTTTTTTAAATGTTTTTCTTTATGCTTGTGATTGCATACTGTGTTCCATACAAGTGCAAAGTCAAAAGACATTATGTGTGTAAATTAGAAGTGGATAAATGCACTGGAAGTATATTAAATAACAAAAAGAAAAGTGTCTGAATACACTGTATGAGTCTTAAACACACAGTAACAAAAACAGCCTGTTTAACTGTGAGATAAAGAGAGATCAGATAATTGTCATGCAAAAATGATTCATGACTGTTGTTCATGCATAAAACAACATAAATGTCATAAGTGGACCTCAGGGGAAAAAATAAAATGCAAGAAAAACAGTATATGTATGATATCAACAACTGACCAAGTGTTGTTTTTTTTATTTTTTTATTTTTTTATTTATTTTTTTTTTAGGACAAACACATTTTTGCATTCCTACTTATGTCAGTTACTTCTGTCTGTTTTGGTTTGTGCGTGAAAAGATGCATAATAGCAATAGCTGTAAAAAGCTGCCCTGCATATTACTGCACCAATCTGCATGCAGTGCTCAATATGTAGCGTTTGCATTACAGCTGTGAATGGGGATTGATAAGCCGTGCTTGTTTTTGCTGGCTTTGACCTGTCAGGGTGGAGCTCCGTATTGTGGTTTGCTATTCCGTTTACTGAAAGAGAGAAACTGATTGCTGGTCTGGTATAAATAACAGCCCAATTGACACTGCGGTTAACACCTTTAGAGGAACCAAGAACCAGTTTAAAGTTCTCACGAGTGAGACTATGCCAATCGTTGCACACACACACACAAAAAAAGTGTTACACGTAAGCATTTTTTTTTTTTCCACGTTTTTGTTTCTCGTATTCAGCTAGTGTGGGTTGCTCTTGCAATCCCCTCCACTCCACCCCCTGTAGCTTTAACCTTTAACCATCACCATATGCCTGAAGCCGTGGGATGATAGGGTTATTTTTTGTAGTATCGGAGGTATTCACCATGGCAGTTTGGGTGGCAATGGTGCACCACACAAGTGTAACTGAAACAGCTGTGGTTTTTCGGCTGATCTGGGGAAAAGGGCTTGCGTTGGTTAGTCACAGTTGGTACGCTTATATACTGTCAAACAGGTGATCAGCAGATTCTTAGACAGGCAGTTCATCATTTTGGCAATTTTTTCTGTTTCAGAAATTTTGTTTTGCAGTTAGGGCGAGTGTGACAGGACGTTACCTTTCTAACAGAACATTCTACTCATGACTAAAAGCAAGCTTGTTGCTAGATCAGGGTGTGGTAGGGTTCTCACATGTTGAGAAAGGAAATGTGAGCAATATGGGAAAACAACTTCTCATCATTATTTTGTTGTCATAACGGCCATTAAGTACAAGTTATTTGTTTTTCAGGGGTTCTTCTAAGGAGATTAGATATAAGATCATTTATTTGCATAAGAAATTAATAAGTTTAAGGAACATAAGTGGAAAAACACAGGAGTTTTCAGAACTGGAGTTAAAAAAAAATGATTAAAAGCCACTAAGAAGCCGGGACACCAAATAACCACCTGCAAGACCTGGTAGACCACCAAAACTGTCCCCATCAGATAAACAGCACTTCGAGCTTTCATCTTTGACAGAGAGGAGAAAATCAAGCTGCTTTAAATCTGAAAACATCCACAGCCATCTTTCCACTGTGAGAAGACAACTCAGCGCTATGGGTCTGAAAGGATGTGTAGCTGTTCAAGAAGAACCTCACTGAGAAAAGGAGACAAAAAAGAACATTATTTGCAGATCAACAAAAGAAGCTGCTGGTGTTCTCAGAACAATGGATTGGTCAGTGCATCCCAGAGTCCAGGCCTCATTATCACTGAATGTGTTTGGGATTGATTGGATTGTGAGAAGCAGAAAATGCAACCAACTTCTAAGACTGAACTTTGGAGGTGTATCGAATATGTTAAGAATGAAAGCTGTGATAAAAAACACACTAAATACTGTCAATTTAGATTTTATACTTCGTGTTGGAGGCTTTTGTGTTTTTTCCTGATGCTGAATAATGAATAACTTGTACTTAATGTCCGTTTTGACTGGGAATGACATGAAGGATGATGTCTTTTGCACATTACTGTGTTATGCGAATGCTGCACTTCAAGTAATCCAACAGCTGTTATAGGCTCCATTTAATTAAACATTACTGAGATAGCATATTTATACTTTTTGAATATCTTTATTTCTGAACTCTTTCAGGTAAAAGCACCCCGACTAACTTGCCTGGATCAGGGGATTCGGCCAAGTCAAGCGATCCCTTCCAGCCCTTTGGCTCTGACGCTAACGACCCGTTTCAGAGTAAAAAGGGGGTCGGGGACCCATTTAGTGGCAAAGATCCGTTTGCTCCATCTGCTTCAAGTAAAGCCTCTAAAGACTCTTCCTTGGGTTTTGCAGACTTCAGCTCTGTAAGTTGAGCTTAGTGATACTACTTCTCTTGTCCAGTCCACCTTTTTTCTTCTTTTTCTTTTTTTTTCTTTTTTTTTCTCCCCAAAAATGCTCTCTGCTTTTTAGTAATCATGAGTGAGATTTTGTGGAGCAGACTGCACCATTGGCTTCTGTACCTCTCCGTCTATGCTGTTGCCTCATGCTGGCTACTCTCCATCTCTACTGCCATCTCTATTTGTAATTAACCAACTCCATGGAATGATCTGGAATAGTGAAGGGAGCAATCATGAAGCCAGACACGGCTCCACAGTGACCCGTGGCCAGTTCAGTTTCTTGTTGCTTGCTGTATCGAGTATGTTATACCCCTTGTTGTCTTGTTGTTGTAGGATTTGTTGAATCAAATGGGCCAGAAGTCTTGAGGGGTTGAAAGCTCAGGTTCTCTGAGGTCCTATCTAGAATCACCTTTTCTGCACACTGCTATGCTGAAGTCCCCTTACAAAGTCTGTGATTACAGAACCCTCTATAGTTAGTTAGTGTTATATCTCCACTGTGAAGCAAAGAATATCCACATTTTGTCATGAGGGGATTGTATTAGATGCACTTTTGCTGTTGTGGCAAAGTAGTATAGAAACTGTTTTTTAAAATTTCAATGGCAGAACAACATTATACACACATTGTCATACAGGATGAAAGCCATGTTGTGTTTTAGGCTTATCCACCTAAAAGTTGGTTTGATACATTCAACCTCAATCTCTAGCTAGCAAGCGAAGTGAGTTCACAGTATGTGATGTGATATTTGAAAATTCACATGTAAGATTTATAACTACTGACAGACAGTGACAGAAAAGCAGCTCAGACGTACAGTCATGCAAAAGTTTGGGCGCCTTGGTGGAATTACATGTTTTGTTGTTGAAGTGACAATAAGTTAAGACGTCTTCTACAGAGAACACACTTTTGCACATTTTAATACACAATTAATGTTCATTTGCTGAATGATTCTATTGGAAAAGAATGTAAAATATAAAATGTGGCCCAGTTATGGCACGTTTTATATTTGTTTTTTTCCCCAATATGATAGATAGACAGATAGATAGATTGAACTTTATTGATCCCGAAGGAAAATTGCAGTGTAGCAAGACATATAATCGCCTCTAAACATACATATCGATGTTGTCGGAACAAAACCTCATATCTCCAAAAAGAGAACTTTACAGGAGAAGGAAAAAACATACTCTACTTTTAATGTAAGTCAATGGAACCAGACTTTTTTCCAAGTTATTTTGGGTCACTTCTGTTAGTCCATTCGTCATGAAATTTACACACAATGTATAGGAACTTAGGTATTTTAATTATGTCTAAAAACTGAAAAACTTGTTTTGTTTTGTTCCGACAGCAGCGAGATATTAGGCAGAAATAAAAATAAAAATTAACGTAGACAAAATTAGGCAGAAATAAAAATAGCCATAATTTAGGCAGAAATATGAAATAGACATAAGTTAAAGTATGAGAGAGCAGGAATAAAAGTATATCTATTTGCATGTGTACATAGCATGTAAGACAGATTTGTTGTATTTACATGGGAGCAGGTATTGCACTAAGTGGTATGAGGTACTTGCTAAGTTTAGTGTTATTCAAAAGCATTTAAATTGTAGACTAAAATTTGCAGAAAAATGTCATATTAAAGTTTGTTCTCTGTAGAGAATTTTTCATTACTATTCGCAATAGTAACTTTGATCTTCACACAGCTATCACTTTCTTCATCTTCCATTATACCAACCACAGTGGTTCTTATTTTATTAGGGATGCACCATGATATCAGAATCATATCACTATTGGCCGAAATATTGTTTAAAACATCAAACAGATATTAGATTTTAGATGCTTGATATTTCAAAGAGATGTTAGATAATGTATTAGTTATGCTCTGTAATAGCAGAATGTTTAGGTGACACTGGGTTACTGCACTAAACTATCTGCTTTTTATTCATTTTCCCTCTACAAGGGATAGTCAAGATCAATCTGGTTCCACTTTCTCCATTTTATAAATATTCATGTATAGCGACATGTGCATTAGAAATATCAGATAGCCCACAGTTCACATGTTGGTTCAGCCCTGCATTTTATAGTCAGGTTATTGATTGTAGGCAGGACATTGGTTTACGTGCATCTAAAAAGATGGGCAATTCATAATCTACTGTAGGCCGGTAATCTTTGAGCCTCGGCTGTAGAAGTAATAAATAAAGACTTGATCTGTGTTAAACTGGCAAACATCCAAACCCTGCCTTTTCCATTTGGCCAGATGCTGAAAACCTGGGCGTTGGCTTTAGAAGCTTCAGGCTGATGGGTATTCACCCTGCATTTAATCAACTTTTGCCAACATGTTTGAACATGCTGGAAAAACCACTTTCACTTCTGCGAACTATTCGGAAGGACATCTTTCTGAAGAAAAGCAGAAATAAAGCTCTAAGGAGGCCACACCAGCATTTCTTTTGATAGCTAATTGTAGCAGCTGATGGCTAATTGTGCAACCCATGTGGGTCATTTCCACCCCTCGCACTGTACTCTGTGTCCTCTGCACACAAACTGGCTCTCATCCTATATATAGTGGAGGTTTTATGAGGGGTTATGTTCGCTGTGCTGTGCAGTCTTTGAGAAATGTTTCTCTGCTAAAGATTTGTTTGGCTCAGTAGAGACAGAACACAGTCACGACTAAATTGAGTTGCTAAAGTTAACTGTAAAGCTTTTAGCCATTTTGTGAGAAGCATTAGGATAATGTTGGTTTGATCAAGCTTTTGCTGTGGAAGCTGCACCCAGAATTTCACATTTTGTTTTCCAGAGTGAACTGAATGGTTGATTGACTCAAAAAAGAAATAGTGTGAAAATCTGGAAAGCAAAGCTGTGTCAAACAATGATTTTACTTTTGAGATTTTAATTTATTCCATAGGCCAAGATTTAGACCCATTCTCCTTGTTCTAGTTCAGTAGTATGTAGTTTAGAGGTTTGTGTAGTTTTACACCAGAGCAATCTGTTACACAGATATACATGATCATGTAATTTACAGATAATTTACATAATGAAGCTGTTCACTATTGTTTGTCTTGTCGTGACAGAGTTCTCTACCACCCTATAGATCGGCTCATGAAGATCTACCGTGCTGTGCAAAGGTGTCAGTTATTTAATTTCCAGTTGAAACAGCCACTAAGTTATTCATTTCAGCATAGAAACACATGTTTAACAAAGGAATAAAGAAATCTACAGAGGTCCTTTTAGACACCTCCAAAGCTCAGTCTTAGAAACTGGTTTCATTTTGTGCTTCTCACAATCCAAGTAATCCCAAACACATTCAGTGATGCTGAGGTCTGGACTCTGGGCTTCTCGACAGCTACATGTCTTTTCAGACGCATAGCGCTGAGTCGTCTTCTCACAGTGAAAGGATGGACGGAAACGTGTGTGGATGTTTTCAGATCTGAAGCAGCTTGATTTTCTCCTCTCTCTCAGAGATGAAAGCTTTAAGAGCTGTTTATCTGATGGGGACAGTTTTGAGGGTCTAGAAATCTGATAAAGAGAGCTGGATTTTAGCTCAGTAATCAGATTTGTCAGTGCATGTGAACTCTTACTCTGATTTCTTTCGTATTTCTCAGTCTGCGCATATTCGAAAACAGACCACAGTACCAGAGATATGCAAGCAGCGCTGCTGCGAGACGACATCAAAGCACTTTTGGAGTGATGCTAAAACTAACTACACGCTTGACGGAATTGAAGATTTAAATATTCTTCATCTTCTAGATGATGTATGTTTATATTTTCAGGAAAAGTGGCTCGATGTTTTAAAAAAAACGCAGCGGCATGAAGTCTTAGTTTCACATGACGTTTACGTCACATTTTCTGTGAGTTTATTAGTGAGTTGTGAAGCAGAAATCTGATTACTGCATGACTCGTGTAGACCCGAATTTTTCCATTATCTGATTACTCAAGTGCATGTAAATGTGTTGATTGCATTACTGGCAAAATCTGATTTTCTGCAGTTATCAGATTATTAAGTTAATGTTCCTTTGAATTTCCCCTTTTTGACTTTATGCAAATACATTATCTTATATCTAAATATCTCCTAAAACATGAATGACATGTTTTTACTGGCCGTTTTGACTGGAAATTAAATAAGCCAAAGGCAGTCTCTGACTTTTGCACAACCTGCAGAGCTTATTTCCAACACACTTTGCTTTAATATTCAGATACTGTTGAAGGCCTTGTTTAACAGGGTTAAATGTTGTTTAATTACAGTTGGAACTGAACTGTGCAGAGCAGTAAATCTCCAAGAACAGCGTTGGCCAGCTATGGTCTAATCATACCAGCAGTAGATAGACATAAAAAGGTTCCCCTCTAAAAGCACCCTGAAGTTAGAGTTAGTTACTGGCAGTAGGGTTTTGGGCATGCAGTTAGCAGTGCATGGTGAAGGAGGTTATTAGGAAGCCGCTGGTCTTAGCTTTTGGAGATGGTTTCATGGTGACTGGTTGACAGGAAGGAGCAGTATCACTACTCAGCTTGCAGGCTGGAGATTTCTCAGCATGGGATATGGTGTGCATCCTAGCTTCTTTACAATGCAAAAACCCACTCAATTTAAGACCCATTGATTTTTGTACCATGATCATCATCATAATCATCATCATCATCATCATCCTCAGCCATCATTCTCCTGTTGTTGGTGTGCATGTGATGGGGACGCAGGGCTTGCTAAACCATCTCTGGTTTTTCTTCCTGTCTCATGAGCTCAGTCCCATCAGAAATGCAGCTAAATGTACAGTATTTGAGAAAATCATGCCATCTTTTTTGGTCTTCTTGTGGTTTGATAGTTGTACTGTTGCCAATAATTATTAGGCAAATTATTTTGAAACAGTTACTACTAAACTCAAGAGGTTGCTGATGAAAAAAAAAGCATCTAGGGTTACTTGTGAACATGATTGGAATCCTCTGAAGTGTGATTACATAACTTAAAGGGCCTATACCTTGGAAAACTAATTTT